TTGCTGACGAACATGAAAGTTAGTTTCACGGTTTTCTGTCGACTGCCTCCAACTTCTTTCTTAACACTAGAAAGGACTTTAAAAAAATTATAAAGCACAACAGGATTTCAAATTATGAATGATAAAGAGGAAATTCCTTTTAGGAGAAGCTGTTTCATCTAAAAATTAAGTGGACGGAATTGGGATAACTTCAATTTATGCTACACAAATTAAAGTGTAATCTGAGGAAAATGAATAATAATTAGGTTGAAGTATGACGTGCATTTGAGTACTGTTCAGCTAGAAGGGGTCCTAGAAATGATAGAATTAAGTATCTGGAGAATACTGGTGGTGTGTTTTAAATTTTTCTGAATGAGAAGCACATTTTAGTACTTTCTAAATTTAAAAATTCTGAAAATTTTCTCGTAGTTATTCTTCTTTCTTTCATATCTGTCTATATTAGTACTGTATTTCTGTTCAGTTATTTTTCCTGTGATGAGCTCAGTGACTGGGAAAACGGGTAGTATTACTTTTATCTATCTGTCTTTGTACAATACGATTATTTTTCCCCTCTCTGGTTAATAAATTGACAACGGTCTAAAATTGATTCGGGAAGTGTTGTGAGGTAAGATATTACATGTGGTAATGGTTTCAATATTACTATCATCAAGCATGCATAAATACATCAGCGTTTTGCCTTCTCAGTATATTTGGAATGTGTCATGATGTCGTTGAATAAAACCTGTCTTTAAGAAAAACTGACACCCCTACGGTGACATCGAAACATGTCTAAACCCAAATCGAACTATCAGCAAGAAACCATCCTCAGAAACCAAAAGAAAATTCATCCTAGCATATATATATATAAAGTTTCTGAAATAACTGTTAGAATACTAAAACCATTCGAAATGGATAAAACACACAAACCTATGTAATTATTTCACTGAATTGTATGCAGACGAAAAGATCCAACAGAGAAAGTCGACCAAATCAACACTATCTACTCAATAACTTGCATGGACTGTAATAAATCCTGTGTCGATCAAACAGGACGTCCTCTTCGATTCCGAGTCTGTAATCATAAACTAGCCGTGAAAAGACACGATATATATTCCTTGATATAGATCCATGTAGACAATAATGGACAGAAATTTGATTGGGAAAATGTAGACATTTCAAAAAGTGGAAAAACCAGAAATCCTAGTCACCTGGTAGTTAGGTGAATCAATGAATAACAGACACATTAACACAGATCGAATTTCTAAACTAATAAAGAATAAATCACATGACAAGGAAGTTAAGAAATCCCAAATGAATTAAAATTCTCAGTAAGGACGTAAATTAACAACCAATCCCGACAAAGATTATCATGAGACATAATTATATATTGTTCGAGTTTGACGATGGACTGATATCAGTTAGACAACCATTGAAAACCAACCACAGGGAGTACTGGACAGCTGTTTCCTCCATCCTACTTTGGGAATCATCGGCAGTACTCACACACCAACGGGGTTCGAACCCAGGACCTTCCGGTTACAAGGCAAGCTGGCTCGTATACCATTCAGCCAATGGGACCCGATTCAGTGGCCAACTCATGAATTCTAACTTCTACCAATTCGTGATTTAGCGTGACCATCAACCAATGTTGTCGGTGGGAACTCCATCCTCACACTTGACTGGATGGATCCCACTGGTCACGACTTCTCACTAGAACTCCAGGAAACTCTATCCTGTAGCAAGTCATTATTCATCGAGAATTCAAATAAGTTCATTTCATATTGAAGTCCCCGTTGGAGATATTTTCTAGAAGGATGACGAAAGCTTCTCAATTGAACCATCCCGCTCAGAAAGTGAGACTACATCAGAATCAACCACCTGAGCTACAAGTCTTCTCTACTACTTCAGTTTCTTATCAGTCTTACCATATAGATCTTTTGCGGTACTGATAACATATGATACTACTTTTCTATTTTATGAATACGTATGATCTACAAGATTATTTACTGAAAACAGAGTTTTGCTAGTGTATGCTGATGAGATTGATAGAATGGAACGTTAAAAAGGTTGAGGAAATACATTCGTTCTGTTTATCTATCCTTTAATATTAATATTTATATAACTTAGATTTTTATTATTAGGCTTTTTACCTGTGATGTAGTTGATACACTGGTATCATTTGCTTCCTGGCCAATTTAGAACAAACTCTGTCAAAATGAATACTTCGTGTTCTGTCTGACCAGTAACACTTCACCCCATTTTGAATATCTACTCAGACGAAGAATGCATTTGTAAAAGCCTTAAATATGATCTTTACGAGTTGATCACGGATTGATATCAGTTAGAGAACCATTGAAAACCAGGGAGTACTGGACAGCTGCTGTTTCATCCTAGTTTTGGGAATCATCGAATCCCAGTGGGTGGGTACTGCCGATGATTCCCAAAACTAGGATGAAAAAGCAGCTGTCCAGTACTCCCTGGTTTTCAATGGTTCTCTAACTGATATCAGTCCGTGATCAACTCGTAAAAACATAACAAACCCTTACAAACCAAACTATAGAAAATTAAATATGATCATCAAACTATTCTAGAATTGTTCATTATATTCATTTGTTATTTAGATTGTGCATTTTGTAGGGATTTGGATGAACTAGCCAGTGTAATATTTGTCACAAACCATACATCAGTTAGACAGTCACTGAAAGCCGAGCAACACTGGACAGTCGTTTCGTCCTAGTTTGAGAATCTTTGACAGTATGAATCCGTGATCAAACCTCCAAGAGTTGGGCACAGAACTTTCAGGATACGAGGTGAGCATGTTGACCATTCAGCTACCGGGACGGAATGAAGTGACTAGTTCATCAATTCTAATTTCTATCATTGGATCTCTAACTGATACCAATCAGATCACTACAAACTGACACATGAAAATTAATCTAGTGCTCAGTAGTGACTAGTGTCTGATGTTCTAGTCAGAAGTCGTGATCATTGGGGTCCCCCAAGTTGAGTGTGAGGAGAAATACTCACTGGCGATATTAGTCGACAGCTGCGTCATATGTCGCTATTTGACAAAATTTAGAATTGATGGACCTTCCAGTGGCTGAATGATCGATGTACCTGAAGGTCCTGGGTTCGATCCTGGCTAATGGGTTCGTGGATGTGTACTGATAAAGACTTGCAGACTCAGAATCAGCATCTGTTCAGTACTCTCTGTTGGTTTTTAATAACTCTCTAACTGATATCAATCCGTGGTCAAACATAAAACCAATCAAATCACTAAAAGACTAACTCTAGTCGAATTTATAGTATTGGCTTGTAAGGATTTGACTGATTGGTTGTAGGATTTCATCATGAGATGACATCGGTCAGAGAATCATTGGAAAACCTGCAGGGAGTACTGGACAGCTGTTTCGTCAGCCTAGTTTGGGACTCTTCAACAGTACGCGTCCACCCTACTGGGGTTCGAACCCAGGGCCTTCCACTCGAATTTAATTGTGCACCAGTAGTGAATTCCACTAGTACTCACATTTTTTTGCACCATCTACCTTTGATGAATCAGTTTAAGAACATTCCCCTATTTTTCAGTGAATACGATTTATACCTCGAGATACTCGAATCTAATCCATATCAAGGTTGTTTTAATTTTTTGCTGTCTAGCTATAGAATAAAACCTTCTTTATTTTCTTTTTTGAATAAAGCATCGCTCCATTTTGCTGACTCTAAAAATTTCGCATTATCAATCAACCAACCAAAATGTAAGTCAAGTAGAAAAATTTCAAAAAGCGTACAATAACAAAATATCACAAAAATATGGAACATACTGATTACTAACTAGTAATGGTATTTTGGAATTTTTCTCTCACTTGTAATGTGTGTATGTCATAGTATGCTTACCCTTTCTCTCTCTCTTTATTTCAGAGTGTGTCTGTGCTAACTAAGTACTATCTCATATATCGCTCCACCACTACATTATATACGAATAAAGTAATGACTGTATTATCCATTCATCATCGTCCGTTAGCTAGAGAAATGTGTGTATGAACAGATAGAAATATATACGTATATATTATACATATACACACATGCTGCATTTTTTTCTTACCAGTGCGTATTACTACTACTACTTACACTGCTTCTAAAGGGGCATGCATACTAGTAGTAATAATAAATGTATTCGTTTTCGCTAAAGGAATGAGTATGTGCCTGTGTGTGGGGTGTGGGGTGTGAGGAGTATGATTACGTATTTGTAAACAGAGAGAGGGGGTTATGTACATACAAGTAAACAACACACTATGAAGCTTTTATATGATTATGATTAGGATTGAACGGTTGAACGAAGTTTCAAAGATGTTAGGTCATCAAAATCATCATCATCATCACCATTATCATGTGTCTAGCCGACGAACAGAGGTATATGGGTAGAATACACCGTTTTCTAAACCCCTAAAACTACAACAACATTGTAGAATGAAGTTGTTTGGTTAAAGTGAAGAGACATATATGTGTAGTATGAATGTATAAGCCAGTAATATTAAGGGTATAGGAAACATAAATGCATATGTACACTATGGCTTAATGTATTGATGATAAATAGAAGTAACGTGTGCACAGGTTATATTATAAGCAAGTCATTTACATTTTCTCTCATATCTCTCAAGGGTAGACAATTTATTCATTGTAGAGATGGAGGATAGAGAGAAAAATTAGGGTGGTGTATTAGGGGTAGACAAATAATAAGCGAGTATGAAGACAGAGGGTGAGAGAGAGTGAGATTAGGTAGGGTTAATTTGCTATCATTACTATTATCATACTATACAATAGTGGGTGAGAATGATTTCAGTATTTTATCATATTTTTCAGTCACTTGTTTGCAGTATTTATCCACTGTACACACATTATTATATTCTGAAATTATATATAATATAAATAATATTATTTTTTTTCCTCCGCAAGAAATCTCTTACCCACTGTGACACACAATATCTAAAGTTTGCTTGAAGACAATTTTCCAACAGTTGACACAACACTACGCTAGTTCATACACCCAAACATTATTGCGGTTATACTATTGCTGGTATTCTCTGTGAAAATAAAGAAACCTCGATCTAATATAGAATCGAATGCCTCAGAAATTATCACCAGTTCTACATGAAATTTATCAAAATATTACTACAAATAATCAAATGAAAATGGACGATGAACAGAATAACCTAAATATGTCAATATTTACACCAAATGGATCCATTAAAGGTAACAATACGACAGCTCAACACAATAATAATAATAATAACAATTCTGATGATTGTGATGAAGTCCAAAGTGAAGCATCACATCAAAATTTTCCATCATCAACATCATCACCTCCGGCGACGATGACGACATCATTGTCGTTACAATGTTCACCATCAATAACAGCTACAACCTCAATGACTTCAACATCAACTTTAACTATGCCAACAAAATCATCACATTCTCCTCTATCATTATTTGATTCTATCAATTCATTGAAACGTGCACGTATTGAATTAAACCCAAGTGAAGCTAATAATAATAATAGTAATAATACACCAACTGTATTCAATGAATTTCCATGTTCATGTGGTCAAATAATTTCAGATTCCAGTGAATTTTTACAACATGTACGTCAATGTCAAGAATTTATGATGACTGCATCAAATTTTGCTGAAGCAATCGCTATGAATACAGCGATGACTATGTCATCCACATGGAATAAATCTCTGCTTAATCCTATTCTTGAAGGTAAAAATAATCCATATAGTAATGATTATAACTTTTCTTCATTTTTAACTCATAAACAATATACAGGTCAAGATGATAATCATTCACAACAATCAATGTCTACATCAAAGAATATGTCACATTTAAAGTATCCAGCTCAAGAGAAAGATCATAATAATAATAATAATAATACTAGTTCATTTCAGTCAGCATTGGATTTATCCTTTCATTCTAATGGCGGTATACATTCCCCGTCGATTAGTAATGCTACTAAGCACAACTGTCCAGAGTGTATTACATTCAGTAGTACAGAGAGATCAGTTTTGCTGAAACATTTTGAAGTACAACATGATCGAACTGGTCACTTTACCTGTTCTAAATGTTGTCAATCCTATGACTATTTACCATATTATTTAAAACATCAAGTGTTTGATAACTGTTCAATTCTTACATCTTCGTCTACAAAACTGGGAATCACAAAACCTGTAACCCTGGATACACAACATGAAAATGATTATTCAACTTCTTCTATACAACATCATAATCATCAGTATTACAATGATCCTCGGTCAAGAAATCATTCTTCAACCCGATCTCCTTCACCATCATCACCATGTTTACAGTCACCGAGAATGAAATCAATCAATGATCATACCAGCGATATACATTTGTTAAATAAAAAGTTGATATGTAATGCATGTAATAAGAGTGGATTTTCGCATACAACTGAATTGATTACACATTTAACTCAATGTCCTAAATTTATTTCACTCACTACTGAAAATATTGGTAGTAGTATTAGCAGTAGCAGTAGTAATACTAACGCTATAAATAACACCAGTGTAGATTCTTCTAATATGCGTATAAATAATGAATTATTAAGTTTAGCTCTAGGACCATCAGTGAATTCTAAGGTGTCAGTATTATCCAGTGCTAATAATCACAATGATAATAACAGTAATACACGTGGATCACCATTCGATTTTGATAAAAGCTTTAGTGAGGTATTGAAAGCATCGTTTAACTCTCAGATGGATAATAATTCGTGTTTCTCACCCAATCGTATGCCATTGAATGTTAACAGTGACGATAAATTCAGTAATATCATGCCTTCTAATAATTACAGTGATAAGGGGAACCATAAAGGGAACAATTATCATCATCCTCATCACAATATACTTTATCCTACACACACCACAGACACACAAACATCCTATACCAACTTCATTTCAAGTCTACAGTCTTTTGAAAAGTCATTACGTAATGGGATAACAATGAAATCTTCATCAGTAATAAAATCTGAGAATGAAAAACCAACAAACTTATCGAATGATCAATTCATGATGGGTAACGGAAATGATTACAATAGTATTGCGTCGGTTAGTTCATTACTTATGAATGATTTCGGTATAAATCAACGTTATAATCATAATAATCAAGTGCAACATCATCCTAACCCTGGTCATATGAAAGATTTAAAGTTTAACCAACGTCAGAATGATCCTGTTCACCAGCATCAACAGCAACAGCAACAGCAACAACAACACCAACACCAACAAAATACTTCGAACAACAGTCTACCTTCATCTGTAATCACAGAGAGTACGACGGATCTGTCAAGACCATTTAAATGTTGTCATTGTATTAAAGCTTTTAAATCGAAAGCCTTGCTAGATCAACATATGCATATCCATTATCCACCAAAATATACATGTCGTTATTGTGCTAAAAAGTATCGTTGGCCTCCAGTGTTTTATCATCATCAGCGTACATGTAAAAAGCGTCCACCGTCTACAACATGTACAAATAATGATACTAGCAATAGTACGATAACTGTCACAATGTCTACACAAAGTAATCATACAAATAACAGTTCAGGAGGAAAACGTAACAGTAATAATATGAATTATTTAACTTCAGATATAGGGAAAAGTCTTCCGCTTAATTCAGAGTCATTCTTTAAACCGTCAAGTTTACGTTCAACAAATCGTCAAGGAGAGGATAAACTTCATGGAATATCAACATCTAAAAAGTCGGATAGAACGACGGGAGGAAGTGGAACATTTCCGCCATATGGACATTCATCGTGTTTCCCACCATTCAATTCTGATATCAATACACCATCGAGTTTCATGGAACTAGCAAATAGTCCTGCATTGCTTCACAATAATATTTTCAATAATAATAATAGCAGTAATGATTTGTCGTTAATGTCATCATCAAATTTAAACAACTTTGCAACATTAGCTGCTGCCGCCGCCGCAGCAGCAGCGATGAGTATGCATTTCCAAATTCCATCAATTTCCAGTCTACCACCATTACCGCCTTTAGGCTTCAATAATACATTCCCGTCATCATCTACTTCCTCGTCATCACCGATATCATCAATAGCAACAGGAGCATTGTGCAATCGTTCTTTCAAATGTATCAGTACAACACAACAATCAACTTTAAATTCATCGTCTTCAGCATTCTTAAACTCAATGCCTTCATCATCAACAGTATCATCAACACCATCATCATCTTCACTTTCATTGTGTTCTGATCTTTTTAGCCAATCATTTAATCGTTCAAATCCAACATTACCATTTTCAAATCAGTCTGGTTTTCATCCCCAATATCTTGTACCACCATTTCTAATGCCAAATTCAAGTGAAATGATAAATTCCAATTACTTAAATGAGTCAAATATAAAATCAGAACTCAGTTTTCCATTTAATAACTTCTCAACACAAGTTTCATCAAGTTTAAATGCTGTGTCATCGTTACCATCAACGGTAGTAACAGCTGAATCAAATGATACTTCATCAGTGGGATCCACTTCTTCACAGTTCAATATATTAAACAATTTATTGTGTATCTGTGGTATGCGTTTCAATGAAATATCAAGTTATTTATCACATGTTACTGCTTGTAACTATTTAAAAAATTTGGTTCAGCAGCAGCAAGACCAACCACTTTCAACTTCACTGACTCAAACTCACAAGTCTCCTACACTGTCATCGTCATCGGAATCATCGTCATCATCATCATCGCCATCAACATCTCCACCACAACAAGTATTATCGCAATCACTTTCAGGAAGAGAACAACAGCAACACCTATCAACAATGTCATCATCATTTTTATCGACATTTCCACAATTTCAGTCATCTTCATTATCAAATATATTTCCATTCAATCTTCCATTTCCTTCTTTGTCAAATATAAGTGAACAGTATGATATATTTAATAGAAATAAAAAGATGCATGAAAATGTAAGCGATGTGAATATGTCGCCTGACTGTTGTTCACCTGTTAGGAATACTGTTCAGCCTGTACAGCCTGAATCTACAGAAGTGATGAATAAGAAGACCATAGAACAAACTTATAATACTTTAAATGAAATGAAGTTTCCAGGCAATCGGACAAATCCTATGGAATATGAAGAATCATATTGTGATAAAGATCTTCCTAGCGTTAATAAAATGTACCAGAGATTAGATGATGGTGACGGAAAAGATTCTTTAAGTGAAATTCAATCCAAAGGTGAAAATAATCAATTAGATTCTTCAGAGAATGAACTTACTTACGACAAAAATAATCATAATAATGGTAGCACTGCCTTTGATCTTAAGTCAGTATTAGATTTACCAACAGTTGTGTCAGGAAAGAATCAAAGTTCATTTGCTGAATATGATCCAGATAGTGGTAAACTGTTAGAACAATCTTCAACAGAAAAATTTAAAGTAGATGATAAATCAAATACAAATTCATCAAATAATTCATTTGTAACAGCAATGGCTAGTGTTTTAGCGAATGCAGCAGCTGCAGCAGGTTTTCACTGTCCTGGACTGCCAGATCTTACACATAAAACATTAACAAATCAGCATTCTTCTCCATCTCCTGTACACAACACTCCTTCAGATCAGCCAACAACAAATTATGAAGCTGACAGTGTAGAAATTATGACTTCTGAGTGTCATTCTCAACGAAATAGCTCTAATAATAGTCCAGAAAATGTAACAACATCCATGTCTACAACAACAATAACAACAACGACAACACCACCAACACCAACAACAACAATGAACTCACCAAAATCTTGTTACCATTGTGGTAAGGAGTTTAGTTCACGTTTATCGTTAAAACAACATGTAGAGGGTAAACACAGTACAGAAGGGAAATATTGTTGCCCAGGCTGTTCAAAACGCTATCGTTGGGGTGCTTCTTACTATTATCATAAAAAATCATGTCCAGCTGTAAGAGAACAAAGTCCAGTTTCAAGTGATATAATAAGCCAGTCATCCTTATCTGGTTCAGAAGATGATTCTTCTCGATCTTCAATAAATTCATCACCGGATCTTCCGTCTAATCCTACTCCTATTAAACAAGATGATATGGAGGTGAGAAATGTTGAAGAAAATGATGTTGTTGATGATTATGATAATGTCGACGATGAAGAGTTAGAACAAAGTTCAAATAATTCACCGAGAGAGTGTTTAAATTCCCCAGTAAATAGTTGGCAAAAGTCCGATGCTATAGAAGAATCGCTATCAAGTAAAAGCAGTGGTGCAAATGACATTCAGTCTATTCCATCTAAAGTAATTAAACAAAAACTATCAAATAAGCATAAAAAAGCTTGTCAAAATTTGAAAACGGATTCATTGTTATGTGATATTAAGGCATTTCCAGTAAGTTATCATTCATTTACTCTTTTGTAACTCAAGTAGATTACTATAAAGTCATTAGAAATTCTAGAAATAGTTGTTTCTTATTTTAAATCAGTTATATTATCTTTCAGCCATTCACGCGATTGCCCGATTATGTACTTATTATTATGAAACAGAGAAAATTTAAATTAAAACGCCTTTAAATTGTGTTATAATACACACCGGCAGTGGTGCAACAATGTAGTGGCACAATTACTGAATTCTAGGATATCTCTTCTCGACACAGTACACATCAGAAAACAGAGTTCAGCGAGGTGATCATTAAAATAAAATGGACATTTTCAATAACTTGTCAGATTTATTTACTTGATGTACGAATTGGTAGAAGTTAGAATTCATGAGCCATTGAATCGGGTCCCAGTGGCTGAATGGTATACGAGCCAGCTTGCCTTGTAACCGGAAGGTCCTGGGTTCGAATCCCAGTGGGTGCGTACTGCCGATGATTCCCAAACTAGGATGAAACAGCAGCTGTCCAGTACTCCCTGGTTTTCAATGGTTCTCTAACTGATATCAGTCCGTGATCAACTCGTAAAACATTACTTGATGTACACTTTCTGAATCTGGATTACGTGTATTATTACATAAGTGACGATTTAAACATACAATTTCTTTCATAATAATAAGTTGGTCAGTGTTGGGTTCTCTTACCAAATCAAATAAGTTAAGATACCGGAGGCAAACTGTATAACCATTTAATCTTAATATAATCACAGTATACACTCAACTTCATATTTGATAATGAAAGACGCATAGAATGTAAGTAGAAATCTACTAAAATGTGATTAAGGTATTACTGACGCGGGTTCGAATCTCAGAAGGGGCAGGAGTTCCTTCAAAGTTGCAGATACGCCTTGCTAATGACTGCCAACTAGCACGAAATCTAGTTCCAAGGCTTCCTGTGGCTGGTTGCCTCCAACCATCTAATACCAACAAAGGTATTGTGTATATTTTCAGTTGTAAAGTTGAATCAAGCCTCTTTTCTAGCAAGATTTTACCTTGTTATCAAGCTAAGTGAACTAAGGAAATGTCAATGCACTCCTGAATCTTATTTAGTTTTCCAACCGATAGTAAGCTGAGTATAGAAGCAAGTGTGGATATGGGGTTAGCAAACCCACCCTTTAAAAATAACACTACAGGTTATAAAACTTCAGTCCGGAAAACTTGAAGCCTTATATTCCACTTGGAACACAAAGGAGTAAAAAAAAGCATCATGATAAAGTTCATCACCATAGGACGTCAGTTACAGAACCATTAAAAATACTAGAGAATTGGACACTTGTTTCATCTTATTGTGGGACCCACCCCTAGGAGGAGGATGAGAAGAGACACTTACCAGTGACATCACATAACAGCCAACCTATAATGCAAAGTGACAGGATTCGAAACTGGTGACTGAATGATATGGTATTCACCTCTTAACCCACCAGTTGTGGGAAAGATCCTTGGTGGAGTTATGGGTACTTACTACTGAGGAGCCCCAAAACCAAAAGGAGGCAGGTGTCCAGTCCTCCATGGTTTCTAAGTGTTCTCTGCTGTAACCTCTCTAGCATTAAATGACTATTGGCATGTTTAAGTGGTTTGTTTTATCACACAGACCAAGCTAACGCATAACTATAATATTAAGCGAAAGAACTGAGTAGCTTGATGACATAATCATGATTTCTTTGAAACAGACAATCCCCTTGATATTATTTTGCTTCTAAAATTAGTTACTTTTGTGTTACGTAATAGCTCAGGAAGTGATAATGCTAATAAAACAATCATCATAATAAAGCTACCTCGCTCAACAGTAATGTGATAACAACTCGTGAATGAATAGAAAATAATTTTTTGTTTTTTTAAAAAGAAGTCGATTTTATAACCAGGTTTACTACTTTGTTTCTCATGTATCGATCGACCACCAAAATCAAAATAATTTTTCAAGTGAAATACACTGAAAAAATAACAAGCAACTAGACAAAATCGATGGATTGGTTTCATTGAAAATAAGACGCAAAGTATAAAATATATTAACACCTGTATAATAAATCTATAGTCGACTTGATAATAAACAGTAATTCATATATATTCATTGAACCAGTGCAATCACCTTCCAGTCAGAAATGGAACATATATAACTTCTACACAGCCAACGTCATGTCCATAAATAATAGAACATCTTAGACAAAAATGGTCAGTAGTTGCATTGAAAATAGTAATTAAACTAATGATTTGTGCGAAAATCCTGAGAACTAATCAACTAATTTCTGGAATATTTAGTCCGAGTAGTAGTTACCCACAGGTGGATTACTGCAAGAGGAAAACAGAATGGTTGTCTTTGTATGCCACCTTAAGACTGACTAAACTGATACGACAGTTTTTTTACCAGCGAATCGAAGTAAATAGAATACAGTTAGTCAGAGATCCATTGAAAACCTAGGGGTGGGGGGTACTGGACAGCTGTCTTATCCTTGTTTGCGAGTGAAGTAAGTTCGTGATCAGTGTTAAAATCAGTCACATTCCTACAAACTAACAAACTAAAATTTATTCCAGTGCTCACTAGTGACTGACCATACAACGAAGCTGCCTAAAGTTCTAGTTAGAATCTGTGACCAGCGAGGAACTAACAAATAAGATGTGAAGAAAATTACTCGCCGACGACATTGGCTGACGGTCTCGTTATATATAAATATATATATATATATACATATATATATCGTCATTTGGTAGAAGTTAGAATTGTTGAGTTATTGGTTTCCATTCTGGCAGCGCCACGGTGTACGAGGTCTCCTTGTGACTTGGAAGTTCTGGGTTCGGTTTGTGGCAGTGGGGTCATAAGCGTGTGTTCCTGAATAGTCTCAAACTAGAACGGAACGGCTATCCATTACTCCTCGGTCTTCAATGATTCGTCAGTTTCAGATCAATATCTAAATCACCCAAATCCTTGCAAATAATTACCTCAAGAATACAGTTATTTTGAACATCTTTTAAAGAAATGTTCTGAATATTTCTGCAGTTAATTATTTTCTCTCGGTCAGTAAACACGACAAAAGGTATAATCATAAAACATCTTACCTTAAATAATTGTCTAGAATCGGGGAGATGATTTATGTCAGACGAAGATTCTAAAGAAATCGGTAACTGATATTGTCAATTATGCAGAAAATAAAGTTTAAAAGTTATTTAGATTTTCTACTCACTCATTACATTTTTTGAAAACGACAATTAAGCAACGATTGTAATGCTTATAACAGTTGTAACTTACAGTTATTTTAAATAAATCATCGTGAAGTACACACCTGTTTCAGAAGAAACCAACAGATCACAGTTTCTAGGCTTACTTCCCCTATTAGAATAGTCTACCTCTTTATTATCGTAACAATAATAAATGATTTGTAATAAATAGATATTAAGGTAATAAAATAAGGAAAACTGAGGATTTCAAGCTTCTAGGAGCTGTGGATCTTTGGTCTAGATGCCCAGCTTCCTATCACTGGATTGCAGGTTCGAAATCAGCTGCACCTACCAAGGTTCGAGTAGTCATGTAGTATGATTAGCCTTCAGAAAATAGACTGGGCTTCTGAGGTTGAACCGATAAGCATGTTATACATTGTAGAAGAGTTTTCAAGCACTCTAAGATTTACAGATAGACAGTTGTGATTATCTGTAGACTGGCACTACCAAATGATTTTGTTAAACTGTGAAGTACTTTTCACAAACATACTTATTTGTCAACAACTCTGGGGCAACACAAAGCTTTCATTTTGCTTTCAAGAATTAGTTTGTAGGGATACCATTTGTTTTGGGTCAGATCACGGATTGATATCAGTTATAGAACCATTGAAAACCAACACTGGAGTACTGGACAGCTGTTTCCTCTATTCTAGTTTGGGACTCACCGGCAGCACGCACCCACCACCAGGGTTCGAACCCACTACCTTCCGGTTACAAGCCAAGCTAGCTCGTATACCATTCAGCCACTGGGACCCGATTCAATGACCAACTCATGAATTCTAACTTCTACCAATTCGTGATTTAGAGTGACCACCAACCAGTGTCATCGGCGGGAACTCCACCCTCATTCCCGACTGGATGGACCCCACTGGTCACGACTTCTCACTAGAACTCCAGGCAACTTTGTCCTGTAGCCAGTCAGTCTCTCTACTATTTTCATCGCCAATTTTATAAATAATGGGATTGGTCACAGTGTCAACCATTAAAAATCTGAAGACATACGGCAAACAGTGATATATATGTTGTTATGTGAATAATTTCAGTTTCCATGGGAAAATGTGGTGAAATTCCACCCCGAACTGTGTAAATTGCAAATGGCGAACTCAATCAAAGAAACGATCACCGGATTGCTAGTCTGTCACTTTATCAACTAGAGTAAAACACTCAGGCGCTGACGAGGTCCTCATTTCAGTTCGATTACCAGTATGACTGGGTATTGTGCCACCCATGACCTTCACGTTCATCAGGTCTTTCTACTCTAATTACGGTAGTGATGAATCAGAAGGGGAGAGTTACTGACTGAAATTTTGCTACGATGCAGACTTATCTTTCAGCTCTAATCATACACCTCCTCAAGAAATTAATATGCCAGACCAAGGACATCTAAAACTGTCTGATTAACAGTCATTGGGTGCGTACTGCCGATGATTCCCAAACTAGGATGAAACAGCAGCTGTCCAGTACTCCCTGGTTTTCAATGGTTCTCTAACTGATATCAGTCCGTGATCAACTCGTATAAACAAAACTAACCCTTACAAACCAAACTATAGAAAACTTTACCATTAGTTAAACTTTTCTAAATCACTATTGTATGGGTCTTTTTGGTTGGAATATCTCTTCCCAAGTTAATGAGGTATTAATCTGCCACACATAGATGCTAAAGGTGTTAGCAGTTATTGTGATCACAATATTTTGGGTACTTAAAGGAAATCTCGTGTGAACCAGATTCGATTCCTAGCCAATGCACT